TTACTTACCTACTCTCTCTCTCTCTCTCTCTCTCTCTCTCTCTCTCTCTCTCTCTCTCTCGGGGGAAGGGAAACACGATTCACGCTCGAGAACCGGATACCGATTTATCGTTTATCCTCGTTTCACAAAGAAACTCGTCCATTTCGTCCATGATGTTGTCAGCCTGATGGAATTTGAATATTTTCATTCATTATTTTATTATAAAAGGAGGGGAAGGTGCGATGAATGCTGCAATGCATCGAATTCGGGCGGGTTTTCCCTTACAGAGGGGTTTGTAATTTAATGGAATATGCTGGTAATATTAATAAACCTTCGAAACGGTTTCGAAATTGAAAGAATAAACGTGCATTCGTGCGAACAATTTAAATTGGCAGGTATGAATATTTAAACGGATGACGAATTCTTTTTTTTTTAACAGTTGAATTAATTGAAGATTTCCGTTCGAAATCGACGTCATTTTAACAAATAAAAATTATAATAATTTTATTTAATGTTACTCGGTCGTCTCGTTCGCAACAATTTGAGAAAAAATCGAACTCTTATAAATGAGAAGCGTTGTCAAAAAATAAAAATAACTTACTTTTTGCCATACACGATTTCCAATGAAATAAATCTTTTAAAGATTGTCGCTTTCCGCAAAAGATTTTTTGTGAAAGATAAAGAAGAAAGCTATTCAAATTCTTCCAAAATTTCTTCCTTTCGTTGATTAATTCTCGAAAACGGTGGGATCAAGTGTGCTCGCGAGGGAAATTAATTGCCAAAGTCGTGGAAAGGGATGGGAATTAATTGGCGGGATGATGAAAGGATGGCGATACGAAAAAACAATAACTACGCCGTCCACCACGTTACAGTGGATGAGAATGAAAATGGAGAGATTGAAGGGTGTCAAAGGGTGGATAAAAAGTTTTCGGATGCACCGCTTTGATGTCTCGTTACGATCCGTATCGATTATTACTTGTTACCAGGGTGAAACCCTGTGAAAACTGAAACGCGCACCCGATTGATACAGGATGAAAGGGATTAGGAACAACGGGACGGGAGAAAGTGGATTAACGTTTTCGTTACCATTGTATACGGTGTTGAAAAATGTTGAGGAAGAATCCCGCCGAATATTCTCCTCGTTTCGAACATCAAACGGCCTTTCCACGACTTTTCACCAATGAATTAATTAACAAATGTTTCGACGAGAGCCTTTTTTCCCGTGACGTAATAATAAAAACACAATCGATACATCCAACGTTGCATTTGAGATTTCGATTTCGATAGATAGAGCGGCCTTTTCTCGATGGACTTGAAAGGAGGTGTGTATATATCCAATATTGTATCGATATTATATCGGCGGATTCTCTCGGTCAAACGTAATTGTCAAAGGGGACTTTAAGTAGATATACCCAATGCTTTGTCAGACGTCACACGAGCAGATACAGAGCGAGGTACATACTGTATACCCAATACCGTGCGTACATGAGATTATATCAATCGAACGTAATTATATCTTATGCGATTGTCAAAGGGGACTTTAAGTGGATACAGTCGACGCTTCGTCGGGCATTATATATAAGAAGGCCTGTTGTTGATTAATTACGCAAAGAGAATGAATAAATATCGAGGAACCTACTCCTTATTTGACTTATTCTTACTGATAATTTTAACATTTTCTTTTTTTCTCAATCTTTTTCTTACGAAATCTATTTCTTCGTTGGTTGTCAACGAAGAACAATAAATATATAATTGTAACGTAACAACATTGGTTGAAGTGTTTCCTATATATATATATATTACAATTGAAACTTGAGATAAAAGTTCGGAGACAGTGAATGTCTAAGTGGAAGATAAAGTCTCGCAGGGCAGGGAAGAAGTCCGAGAAACAAAGTAGCAAAAGTTTTTCTCCCTTCCCCTCAGCCCCGGGGTTATTTATCATTCCAGATTTCTTACGGTCACCTCGTGCGACAAAAAAGACGCGTCGTCCATTCTTCCTCCAAATTTGATTAATGAATTCAATTTTCAATCTTCCTCAAGGATACATTTTTCCAAAATATTATTCAACCTGAACTTCGATATTTCAAACACGCGTGCAAATTGCCATTTCCATGAAATCTTTGATAATATCCAAAAGGGATATCAGGTAAATCCCTCCTCTCCTTTTAAGAATTCTTATCCCCCGAATCATTTTCCTCGTCCGTTTTTACCGTTTACCGACTCCTGCATAAAATATTTTCACGTTCCATTTTTCTCTTATTATGTAACCGTTATTACGCCCAATTTATATTCCGTTAAACCTAAACCAGTGATTCTCAAGCAACGTAGATGATCATCAAAAAAGTTATTATATATATATATATATTCTCCACGAATTACAAATTGCAATTCAATTTACAAATTTTCAACGTATTTGCATTTCGATTAAATTTGATTTGAAATAATGTAAATTGTCGAGATCGAAATTTTTATAATTCATATTTCAAAAGATATATATTTATTATAATTTAATTAAACGTAGATATTCAAAATATCATTTTATCGGATCCGAGGATACGACGCCCATCCTTATTCAGAGACAGAATATTTCCACGATAATACCGATCCATATCGATTGAGAGTTAAAATATTCCCATAAACACGCATAAATTTTTAAAGGCGAGCGAGATGCATAAGATAGGTAAAAGAGGTCGACGTGCTCGCGTCGTTTGCTCGACAAATGAGCCTTGTGGATCGAGTTATTGCTCGTAAAAAGCGCAGCGACTCCAGTCGCGTGTTATATCGCGAACGAGCATATCATTACTCCCCCATTGATGGAACGGCACGCATACGTGGATCACGTTAACACGTTTTCTATTACACGCGCCTCGTATGTGTGTGTAACACGTGAAAAAATCAATCATATATTAGAGAAATTTTTAAATTTTTGAATTTTTCTCGAATATATCGAAAAATTTGGAATAATATTTTTTCTCTCTCTCTCTTTTTTTTATCTAAAAATGACAGAGAAGCTTATCTATGATCCTTCAATGTTTCGAGAGCTTCGAATCGCAAAAATATAGGAAAAAGTTTCGAGAACTCGAAACTTCTTAAGTATCGAAAGATTTCTGATCGGTTTCTTCAGATTTAATAAATAAATATTTTCAACAATTTATCTTTATCCGCGTTTCAAACAAAAATTAATTGTATTTAAATTATTCTCATTTCACTTATTATTATTATCTCCACAAAAATTAGCCTCGAAAAATTATTTTATCTTTATTATTAATTTTAATGTGCACGCATTTTTTTTAACCATCTTCAAAAAAAAAAAAAGAAAGAAAAGAGTACAAATCTTCCTGTTCTTACTAAAAAGGCAAACACACGACAACAAATCAAAAATCCAAAATCTCAACGTACACCTCGAAACTCTTTCACCCCTCGAGAACGATTGTCGTTATCTATCCTGTCAAACAGGTAACGTTATCAAGAATCTATCGTTATCTCGAACTAGAAAACGATTCAACGGAGATAGATTTCGTGTGAAATTCTCCAAACGATTCGAAGGGTTATGGCGTTATGGAGGATAGAGAAGAACGTGGAGAGATTCGATGTCGGCGAAAACGGGTAGAAAAGTGGAAAGATCGAGATGAAAGACAACAGGGATGGAGAGGGAGTGGAGAAGAGAGAGGGAGTCGAGCACGGTATAGCGCGCTGAGGAGGGTTTTCTTGGGGGTTTGAAGTGGCATTAAGTTGACGTATAGAGGGTGGAGCGAGCTCAACGTCTGATAAAGCTGACAAGTAAACGCGCTTTTTGCCCAAATATGCTGGCTACCCCGTTATATAATATGTTAATGTATGTATATTTGCGAAATATGCCATCTTTAATAACACGCACACATTTTGTATGTGTGTTATTGTAATTGCAGAAAGAAAACGTTGAAGGAACTTTTTAAGTGGATTTTCTGAGATGGTTAAACGAAGAATTATCTATATTTGCATTCTAATAGTGAACAGTTTTGTTATTCGTTTCATGGTGAAATTTATTTTTGAAAAAATAATTAAAACGTTTGAACGTGTGATGAAATTTTGATATTTAAAAGTATTTATGCTCAGAAAGGAAAAGGATCAATTTTATTGAATTTTTCTATCGTTCGAAAATTCTCTTATTCCCATCTTTGTTTTCCCTTTGTTAATTCAAATATCACGCGAGATAATTTTTTTTTATCGATATCCTTAAGAGAATGCGAAGGACGAATGCTTCTTCGTTCGAAGAAGAGAAAAGTTCAACGCAGTTTTTGCTAGTATGAGCTTTTTGTTCGTTATTTATGGGGCAACGTTTTACCATCATTGCTACCGAGTCGGTATCAGTCAGCTTAACCATGTTGCCACCATCTTAGCCACTGATGAAGTTGGCAGAAATGGCGGTGGAACGTCAGTTTAAAAATAATGAAAGCAGTTTATAGCCTGGAGCCAGACCCGGTCCGAGATAAGACAATATTCTTGTGCGGTAAGAGTTTACGTCGTGTTTCATATAGAGCGAGGATATTGAAATTGATTCGATATTTTTAAATAAATTTTCTCGATGATATATTTTTATACCTATATATCTCGTGATTCATAATTAATCATTAGAAAGCTCGAAGTGTCTAGTATTAATAATCTAGAAATATTTATATTTTCACTCTAAGCAATCTCAAACATAATCTAATTTGATTCTAATTCATTTAAATTAAATCTCCAATTAAAATTTGTAATTGGGCTTGATTCACTGCATAATTTATAAAATTAACTAAATTCGTTATGTAATTTATTTTTATTATTTTAATTAAGTTTATATCATATAATTTATTACCAGAATAAATTTACTAGATGTAATTTATTCACTAGAATTAATTCACTAATTCAATTTATCATATAATTTTAAATTACAAGAAAGAAAGATAAATTCGATTCTTAAATTCTATAAATTCATTGCAATTAACACGATTCAGAAGTAGAAGTAACTAATCAGGGATAGGTTAGCCAAAGAATTAACCGGAAGCCGGCTAATCCTTGAAAGGGGTGCGGCGTGCCAACGACATTTGCAACGGCACACGGTTAAAGTGAGTAATTCGTAATTCATCCCTATCCTTCCCTTGTAAATTACATGTTAATTGGCACGATCTCCCTGAATTCGGTGCCAAAGAGGCGCCCTTAACGGTGTTCGCCTAACAAACGGTTCATCAAATCCGTTCCAATTCGTTCCATCCGCAAAATTCCCCCAGAAAGATATAGTGATAAAGAGAGGGCAATTTTATAAATGGAAATTAACGATAAATATCAGGATAATGATAATTCGTATTTGAAAAAAAAAACATAAGAAACGGAAATGGAGAAAGACTTAATTAAAGATAATTAGAACGAGTCGAAGAGGCAATTTCTTAGACAGTTCATTCTTGGAAAATAGCCGATGGTGTCAATTTCAAGAGACGGTATTCATCGGAATGTAAAAATAACAAGAAAGTTATTCGGGAAAGGGAGCGTTCTATTTTATCGACGCGCCAGACCGTTCGCAAAGATAATTTCTCTCGTTGTTAACAAGAGACGAGATCGTTTGGTAACGGTGACGTAACATAACGTTTGTCGTCGATAAAAAGGAGAAAAAGGAAGAACGGAAAAATGAAAATAAATACAAGAGAAAGGGGTATCGGTGGTGATAGTAGTTGCTCCCAAGAGAACCGTCGCCGATGGCTATTGTTGCAAAAGCTTAGCCCACCGCTATCATCCATGAATCCCCGATACTTGATCCGATGTGTCGTCAAAACCGTTTTATTACTTTTTCATCGGAACGAACCGATAAACTGCCATGCTTTATCTTCAATTTTATCGAGAGATTTTTATACGTATTACAAAGTGTTGCGGAATTATATGTAATTCAAACATGAAATCACAGAGGATGATAAAAGGAACATTTTATGTCTAATAAACATACGTTCAATCTTGTCCCAGTTTTCCGTAACGAGACTTCAAAGATAACAAAGTTAGGCTCCTATCGTCGAGCAACCCGCCTTGTGCACCTTCAACACGTGTTTATCGAATTTTAATCTATTTTCGTGTAACATAATTTTCATTCTAATTAATATTAATTATTAATTACTATATAATTTTGAAATGTAAATTAATATTAAATATTTCGATTAACGATTATCCAATTTATTATGGATTTCCAAATTATTATAGATGGAAATTTTATTTTAAGTTTTAAGAGGATGTATCTAATATGACGTGCACGTGATGTTTTGTATGTTTCAGTATAATTTTTGTAAATCTATATCGTAAAAGAGATTCGGAAAAATCTTTGACAAATTTTACAGCTTCATTGAGAATTCAAACAAGATCGAACACGATATTCGAATACAAGCAAAAACGATTTTCTCGTCATCCTCCATCGCATCTTCTTTCATACATACGTATATATATATATATATATATATATAGATA